ACCCCCCCCGGACCTCCATGGACCCCCATGGAACCCCCCGAGGCCCCATGGACCACCCCCCCCCCCCCCGGACCTCCATGGACCCCCCCAGAGACCCCCAGAACCCCATGGCCCCCCCCGGACCTGGGGGGGGGGGTGTTGGGTGGGGGCCAGGGGGGGGGGGGGGGGGGGTGGGTGACACCCAGGGGTCCCCGTGTCCCCCCGGGGGGGGTGGGTGACACCCAAGGGTCCCCGTGTCCCCCCCAGTACCTGCTGGACTGTGACAAGGTCGCGTCCCTGCCCAACGTCACCTTCGTGCTGGCGGGGACGACGTTCACGCTGAGCCCCCAGGAGTACGTGCTCAAGGTGGGAGCCTGTCCCCGTGTCACCTGTGTCACCTGTGTGTCACCTGTGTCACCTGTGTGTCACCTGTGTCACATGTATCACCTGTGTGTCACCTGTGTGTCACCTGTGTCCCCTCTGTGTCACCTGTGTCCCCCCTGTGTCACCTGTGTCACCCCTGTGTCACCTGTGTGTCACCTGTGTCACCTGCATCACCTATGTCACCTGTGTCACCTGTGTCACCTGTGTGTCACCTGAGTCACCTGTGTCCCCCCTGTGTCATCTTTATCCCCTCTGTGTCACCTGCATCACCTGCATCACCTGTGTGTCACCTGTGTCACCTGTGTCCCCCCTGTGTCACCTGTGTCACCTGTGTGTCACCTGTGTGTCACCTGAGTCACCTGTGTGTCACCTGTGTCACGTGTGTCACCTGTCACCTGTGTGTCACCTGTGTGTCACCTGTGTGTCACCTGTGTCACCTGTGTGTCACCCCTGTGTCACCTGTGTCCCCTTGTCCCCATGTCCATCATGTCCCCATCCTTCTCCTTGTCCCCCTGTCCCCTGCTCTGTCCCCCTGTCCCTGTCCCCTTGTCCCCATGTCCCTGTGTCCCCCTGTCACCGCCATGTCCCCGTGTCCCCCTGTCCCCAACTCTGTCCCCCTTGTCCCTGTGTCCCCAGCTCTGTCCCCGTGTCCCTCCTGTCACCTCCGTGTCCCCCTGTCCCCAGCTCTGTCCCCGTGTCCCCTGTCACCTCCGTGTCCCCGTCACCTCCATGTCCCCGTGTCCCCCTGTCACCGCCGTGTCCCCCTGTCACCGCCGTGTCCCCGTGTCCCCCTGTCCCCAGCTCTGTCCCCCTGTCCCCATGTCCCCCTGTCACCTCTGTGTCCCCGTGTCCCCCTGTCACCGCCGTGTCCCCGTGTCCCCAGCTCTGTCCCCGTGTCCCCGTGTCACCTCTGTGTCCCCCTGTCACCTCCGTGTCCCTCCTGTCACCTCCGTGTCCCTCCTGTCACCTCCGTGTCCCCCTGTCCCCAGCTCTGTCCCCGTGTCCCCCTGTCACCTCCGTGTCCCCCTGTCACCGCCGTGTCCCCTGTCCCCAGCTCTGTCCCCGTGTCCCCCTGTCACCTCCGTGTCCCCCTGTCACCGCCGTGTCCCTCAGGTGTCCCAGCTGGGGACCCCCACGTGCATCAGCGGCTTCATGGGCCTGGACATCCCGCGGCCCTCGGGGCCGCTCTGGATCCTCGGGGACGTTTTCCTGGCCGTGCACTACGCCGTCTTCGACCGCGACCGCGACCGCGTGGGGCTGGCCCGCAGCCGCCGGCACCCCGGGGACCCCTGAGGCACCCCGGGGACACCCTGGGGACACCCTGGGGACACCCCCAGGACACCCCGGGGACACCCCGGGGACCCCTGAGGCACCCCCAGGACACCCCGGGGACCCCTGAGGCACCCGGGACACCCTGGGGACACCCTGGAGACACCCTGGGGACACCCTGGGGTCACCCCGGGGACCCCCAGGACACCCCGAGGACCCCTGAGACACCCTGAGGACACCTGGGACACCCCCAGGACACCCTGGGTACACCTCTGGATGACTGGGACACCCCTGGGGACCACCTGGACATGCGGACCACCCAACACCTGGGCGTCCCCAGGTGACAGCCACCCCAGGGACACCTTGGGACCACCCTGGACACCTGGGTGTCACCAGGTGACAGCTGCCCCAGGGACACCTTGGTGAACCCCCGGATCTCTGAGTCCTCCCTGGGACCACCCAACCCACGAGGACCTTGGGGACCCCCCGCATGTCACCCCCCCCCTCCCTCAGGTGACCCTCCTGGACACCTGCACCCATCCTGGGGACACCTGGGACCTTCTGGGTCACCCCAGGGTCCCCTGGAACCCCTCTGGGACCCCCTGGATGTCGGGGTCCCCTTTGTTTTTCTTGGCGGGGGGGGCTCCTGGTCCTGGCTCCTCCCTTGGGTGCCCCCCGGAGGTGGAGACCCCTCCCCAGTCCCAGCACAGCCCAGAAGCCCCCAGACCCATTTGGCTTTTTGCTCCCAGTGCTCCCAGTAACGCCCAGTTCCCCCCTGCCCCCCCCGCTCTGAGGGGGCGTGGCTTCGCCGCTTAGGGGCGGGGCTCCAGTGATGTGGGCGTGGCTTTCGAGAAGTGGGCGTGGCCTCTCCTCTCGGTGGGCGTGGTTTCAATAAATGTGCGGTTCCCCTCGATGTGGGCGTGGCCTCTCCTTGCAGTGGGCGTGGCTTTAATGCAAATCGGCTTTCCCCTCACTGTGGGCGTGGCCTCTCCTCTCGGTGGGCGTGGCCTGCATAAATTTAGGGTTTTTACACGTGTGGGCGTGGCCTCCCACACAGTGGGCGTGGCTTTAATGCAAATGGGCGTGTCCCCCTCTCCGTGGGCGTGTCCCACTCACTGTGGGCGTGTCCCTCACTCACTGTGGGCGTGTCCCCCTC